GATGTTTGGGTCTTCGCACCGTGTGAATGTTCAAACCGCCTCTGCGTTCGGCAACAAGTCACTCGTAGAAGAATTCACGCAGCAATATCTCCAGAATGCCTCGGGTCCGCTCTCTATCTTTTCATCCAGTTACTATGGTTGGGAGAAGCTCCCGGAGCCGTACCGTTCCCGGTTATCAAATCGGTCAATCCAAGCACTCTCTGCCGTTCCAAACGACTGGCCTGAACTCGAATGGCTTACCGTCGCTGCCTACCTTGGCGACGGCACCAACAGACAAACTGTCGATCCCGCGGATGGTTATAACTACGGCACTATCGCCACAGCTCTCGTCGCACCGCAATCTCGCGGAAGGGTCTCCCTGGCAGGACCAGATATGAATACCCTGCCCGTCGTTGATCCCCAGTGGTACGTCAATCCCACAGACATGGAGCTAGCTATTCAGGGGTTCAAACGCGGTCGTCAGGTATGGGAGAAGCTGGCTGAATTAGGGGTTGCCGATCCGCTAGAGTACTACCCAGGGACCAATGTCACGACGGACGAGCAAATCCGCGAGTTTATCAGCCACACTTCAACGACTGTCTACCATGCCTCGAGCACCTGTAAGATGGGCCAGAAGGAGGATCCCATGGCCGTCCTGGATAGTAGTGCGCGGGTATACGGCGTACAGGGTTTGCGCGTCGTCGATGCAAGTAGCTTTCCTTTTCTACCGCCAGGGCACCCTCAGTCGGTGGTGTACGCTCTTGCAGAGAAGATTGCAGATGAGATTTTGAGCGCGCAGTAACGTTATGCCCTTTGATTTTTGGACTGCACATATGATGTTGGGTTGTATATGATTTGTATATTATTATATTATTGTCAGACCTAGTAATGATTAATTGATGTCCTTAGTTCAAGATGTGGAGAGACAAGGTGCTAGAAACGTATAGCAAACCACTTACTGTTGAATAGCTTCTATCGCAACGACTCTTCTCGGCTCAAGTTAAACATTCAAATTGCAATATAGAATACAGTACAATGCACTATCCAATGTGCAATAAATCTATCTGTACATGTTGCCCCAATGCCCAATCAACAGATATAGAACAAGACCAAAAGACCATCGTGATCCATCCAGTCGTAGCCTGAGGTGGTCAACTCAAACGCAGTGTTTCCGCTGCCTCTCCCCATCCCTCCATTATTCATACCAAGTATCCTGCGAATGGAGATGCCACTTTATGCCTTGACTTCCACCTCCTGCCCATCCTCGACAATTACAGCTCCCTCCTGCAGTAATTCCTCCGCAGTCTTCACCTTGACATCCATCACCCTCAGCAGGGTATACCGATGCTTGCTGCGCACCTGTCTCACATGTCGCTGTCTCCGCTTCGTCTTCTCCTTCACCCTCAATGGCTCTGAATCAACTCCCATAACACGCACCCGGCACTCGAATAGCCGCTCATCGATGTATGGTGCCCCCTTCAGCGTAAACTCGCGAGATCCCAGAACAGACGCCCGGTTGAAACGGATGACATCGCCGGGCTTGACCTTGGGCATCAAGAAAGGGAGACGGAGGTGATCACCTTCAGTGAGAAGGTAGGGGCTGTCGTGGAGGTGAGCCGTGATGTAGTGCGGCTTTTGAGTCGTCAGGTATGGCAACTTCTCGAGAAGGGATTTGGTCACTTTTAACGGAGAGGTGAAGGTCGGAGCCACGGGGAGTTTGGTGGTTGGGATGGTATTCGACGGTGTGGAGATGGGTGATTGTTGACTGGGTGTGCTGGTCTGAGCGCGGGATGCTGCGCTTAGTGGTTCTGAGGGCTGCTCAGGGTGTGATTGCGAGGTCGTGGCCGTCGTTGATGCTTGACGCAGACAGGATCCGAAGGTGGTGGTGAGAGGCCGGGCGGACTGCTCGAATGGCAGTGCGAAGGCTCTTGCGAGCGCCGTTCGGGAAAACATTTTTGTGGTTGTTGCAGAATTGTTTGCCTCTTCGTAATCCTGCACTTGCTTTTCCCGATTGGAAAAGACAAGACTAGTGTCGCAATGGACGTGGTGGACAGTTCTTGTATCAGTCCGAACTTGAGGCCGTGAGAAATTCCAGTGGATCCTGATGTGGTTAAACACGTGATGTGGCTGGTGCCAATGTTTTCTATGGTGATTGACACAGTTAGGGTGGGTTCCAAAATTGCTGGTTAGAGATTAAATCGAGAATTGGCTTCCTGAGAAAAGAAAATCTTTAATTTTATATATTCCACTGCGTTTGCTGTACAGGAAGATCTCCTGTGGAAAGAGTGAAGTTTGTCGGTCTGTTATCACGTGATTTATCGATACCAAGCCACTCTATCCGTGCATCGAACTTTTTTACATCTCCACCAACAGAGTTGATAATATCCAGATCATCTCAACCCGTTGGTTTTTATTAACCATGGTACGTCTATGAACCCCAAGATATGGTCAGATCGCTCGGCCACCCATCAAAATGCTCCGAGTCATTCGGGCGCCGCTCTGGAAGACTTTGATAATAGATATTGGTAACTAACAATTCTTTCCAACTACAGCCTCAGAACGAGTTCGTCTTCCTGCCTCCGTCAACTGTTCTCCGTCACCCCAACATAACATACTGATCACTTCCAGGTATATCGAGCGCTGGCAAAAGCAGCACGGAAAGCGTCTTGACCACGACGAGCGAGTCCGCAAGCGCCAAGCCCGTGAAGCCCATCAGCAGTCCAAGGATGCCCAGAACTTGCGTGGTCTGAGGGCCAAGCTGTACCAGCAGAAGCGCCATGCCGAGAAGATCCAGATGAGGAAGCGCATCAAGGCGCAGGAGGAGAAGAATGTCAAGTCTTCCGCGCCCGACGAGCCATCCAAGACGCCTTTGCCGCAGTATCTGCTCGACCGTTCCCAGGCCACCAATGCTAAGGCACTTTCTAGCGCTATCAAGGACAAGCGTAAGGAGCAGGCCGCCAAGTTTGCGGTTCCTCTGCCTAAGGTCAAGGGTATCAGTGAGGAGGAGATGTTCAAGGTTGTCAACACCGGAAAGAAGACGCATAAAAAGTCCTGGAAGAGAATGATCACGAAACCCACTTTTGTTGGCAATGACTTTACCAGAGTTAACCCCAAGCGTGAACGTTTCATCAGACCCATGGGTCTGCGTTATAAGAAGGCGAACGTCACACAGTATGTTTTTTCCACCTTTGGAAGGAATTGTTACTAACGGTTGTTCCTACTTAGCCCTGAGCTGGGAGTCACTGTTCAACTGCCCATTATTTCGGTTAAGAAGAACCCCCAGAACCCACTGTACACTTCTCTGGGTGTTTTGACCAAGGGAACGGTATGTTCTGCTGCTGATCCTCCCCTAGTGGTTTGCTCGCTAACCCAAACATAGATTGTCGAAGTAAACGTTTCAGAACTAGGCCTGGTAACAACCAGTGGACGTGTTGTATGGGGTAAATACGCACAGATCAGTAACGTAAATATGCCTGGAACCTATCTAAGAGAAACAATTCGACTTGCTAACCTTGAATCTAGAACCCTGAAAACGACGGATGCGTCAATGCGTATGTTCGCCCAGACTTATTTGCCCTTTTGACTACTCGGAATGCTAACTTTCGGTCCTCAGTGTTCTCCTCGTTTAATCATTCTACGGTCAACGTTCATGAATCAGCCCCACCACTTAAATTCTTTATCTTCGATACCATTTGATGTCATAGAAATTTCGTATTTGGCTTTCCTTTCTTCCCTTACTCGCCGGCGGCGTTCGAGGCGCGCAATATGTCATTTGTCAAAAGTATCGTTCTGATATATATCCAATTGCAATTGTATTGGAAATTCATTTGGTGCAGTATACTACTATCTATGTAGGCATGTTCTCTAGGTGATTGGTTCACGTCAGCCAGCCTTCCCAATTTAGAGGAATAGACGACCGTTCGACAGGTCACAAAGCCTATAGGGAGGTTTATATGCGAAAATCAGTTATCTATCTATCGGGGGAAATACGAACGGTCAACCATATCAAGTGGACAAGCTTATAGTCTAGTATTGCTGACACAAGTAGCTATAGGGTCGTTATACACTCTAGAATAATTATCCTGGCAGCTAACCGTATGATGATTGCTTTTACCTATACACATGTGAATTGCTACAGTGGATATATCGGTAGTTTGAGCTAATAAGGAACACGCTAGCGATCACTTTCTGGGTGTTTGTTGCTCCCTGGAAGGGCATAAAACACGGTGTGTGTATATAAAAGGATTTATATATATCCGCTATTGAACAGGATTGGCTTACATCTCTAGAAATATGTGCAACAACCATCGATCCACGGTAGCCCGTACCTACTCTCCTAGACATCGGGATATCTCACCGTGGTAGGTGTATTAAAACTTGTCCGTGGCTAGTATCTGCCACTGTATAATAGCCTTCTATGATAGATAGTCCTTATATATTGAATATATAGAGCTCTGGGAGTAAAAATCAGGGCTACGGTTTGTACAGAGATACAGGTTGAAAAGTTGCTTACTATCTATTCTCTCTGTAAGTTTAGTTCCTTAAATATACACGCCACCTCCAGGTCAGGCACTCTGGCAGATCCACCACCGCCGGCATTCTCCAGCTCAAAAGGACAGAGGATTGATACCTTGAAGGAGTGTGCTTATACTAGCATGGGTGAGACTAATTGGATGAAATTACATTGCGTGTTTAGCGCGGCGGGGTTTTGAAGTTAATAAGTAGTAGGTCGTAGTAGTAGCTCTAGGGCAACGCAAAGGCTGCGTTGGCCTAGGTAAGAGCTACGAAAGGCCGGTACTACTGAACTAAAATCTGACAGCTGGACCCGATATGAAGCTAATATTGCTATTGCTGGCCAATCTCTAATCGTAGTTCTTTGATGCAACGCAATCATTCCATCAAGTGATTAGGGCTAATGTGCCCCTTAGTGTATATTTAAGCCCGTGACTGCCCTTCAACAAACCGGCTGCCAGTTCACTTTCTCTCAACTTAAAGCGGGTAGATCCAATTGACTACTCATCATGGCTTTCGGCACGGCAGCTGCGCTTGATAAGTTGAGGACTGTCTTCTCTAGTCAGTTGGTGACTCCAGACGTTGAGTCAAAGTATCAGGCAGCTGTGGCACGCCCCTGGTCTCAGACGTGCTGGACCCCAGCTGCCGGCTATATATATCTCAGCAATATACAAGAGCTCAGTGAAGCACTGGCTATTGTCAAGAAGACAGGAACCAAGTTTGCGATTCGCACGACCGGTCACAACCCCAACGCTGGCTTTAGTAGTGCAGATGAGTCCGCTATTGTTCTTGATATCCGTCAGCTTCAGTCTAAGGAGCTGACATCGGAGGGAGTCGCTCGCTTTGGATCGGGAAACACCTGGGGCGAGGTGTATGCCTGGCTGGAGGAGCAAAACCTGTCAGCTATTGGAGGTCGAGGCCAGCAGGTCGGACTAGGAGGTTTTCTCCTCGGAGGTGAGGATCTACGATCATTCTCAAGAGGACGTTCTTGGGGCATGGAACCTAACAGTTGATCAACAGGCGGCATGGGGGCTTTGCCTAATCTTTATGGTCTTGGATCGGATGGCGTGAGAAACTTTGAGGTGAGGGAGGCTGCTTTCTTTTCTTTTCTTTTTTTTTTTCCCCTTAATAGATACCCAACATGCTTTCTTGCAGCACTCACAATCGACATCTCCAGGTCCTGTTGGCCGATGGCAGACTGATTAATGCGAACGCGAATGAAAATGCCGATCTCCATCGCGTTCTGAAGGGTGGTGGCTCCAACTATGGTATGTGGCATGCTTTTGTTATAGGATTTACTTGTATTGCGAGCTCGGACAGCCTCGACGTCCCTCTGACACATTAAATAGGCATCATCACGCGATTCGACCTCGAAATCCATCCTCTGATCAATGTCCAATACATGATCTACCTCTACAATCCAGATGACCATGTTCAGATCAACAAAGCAACAGTTGCCGTTCAGAATGCCATGGAGGATGATCCTAAGATTGGGTTGTTCACCAATTTCAACAATGGCTTCGTTGCTGTGGGCTTGCTCTATGGAGATACCCCAGCGGAGCCACCTTCGGCTTTTGAGTCTTTCTATAATCTTAAAAGCCTGATGACGATAGCTCTCCCCACTACAAATGGCACCCTCCTATCGTTAGCGCAAGCCATGGGACATACCAAAGTTTCCCAGAAGTGAGTGCAGAGAGGACAAAACAGAAAAAGAAAAAGAGGGCGCCCAGCTAGTCACTAACACGCGATAGGCGAGCTATTTGCACGGTCACTACCCAGGTTTCACAGGAACTCTACGAAGAAAGTCTACAAGTCCTGGACTGAGGTCTGCAAGACCCTGCCGTCTGGCTGCATTCTGCATTATACCATCCAGCCGATGGGCAAGGCTGGTGTACAGGCAGGAAATGATCGTGGAGGGAATATCATGGGACACGAGAGTATTCCGCAGTGCTGTACGTTCATATTTGCGTCCTGCCACACAATGACACCCATCATCTTGAATTGGATGGCAAATTAGGGGTATATGACAACGCTAACCGTAATCTCAATTCATAGGGTGGGTTTTCACTTGTGAGTGGCCCCAGGAGGGTGGCGACGACGCCGCCGCGCAACAGGCAGTAGATACAATGTCCGAAGTGGTGCACTCTCTGGCCAGAGAAAAGGGACTTTTATTGGACTTTAAGTGTATGAGCTTTGCCATGGCCTCTCAAAGGGTTCTGGGCAGTTACGGGGCTGAGAATATCAAGACGATGCAGGAGGCTGCAGCCAAGTACGACCCTGAGGGGGTCTTCCAGAAGCTGCAGTACGGTGGCTTTCTCCTGCGCAACAACGTCTAAATCCTCTCGCCTCTTCCCATGAGTGAGGGTCTTTGTAGTCCTAACCTAGAGGATAGTTGGGTTGAGCTTTCTGCTTTATTCGACTTCCTGTATCGCCAAGCGAACAGGATTCGCGAAAGAACAATCCAGTTATGGACAGATATATACGAAAGACAAGTGAAACCACAAGAGATCTGTTGTGAAGGTAGGTCACGTATAAATCGCACTAACAGGTTCTTAAAGATAAAGACGCATGACTGTATTTAAGTGAATGCTATTATATTCCAAGTATACTCAAACTCCAAACCCACGCTGAAATCACAGCTTCCAATGCATCCATGAGTGACAAAGATCCATATACAATGCCCAAAGTGTCCTCAAAACACCAAGTCCGTGTACCCAAAGGGTAAAATTATAGATCCAAGAAGTGTAAAACAAAGGAAATACTCCATGCTGGGCAGAACCAGTCCAATAGGCAGGCATGAACGCCGGATCGTCGGATCATCCAGGATATCAAACAACAAATATTCGAGGGCCAACATAAACAAAAGAAATTAGTCGAGTCAAGTGTCATTATGCGTTCTCTTCCAATGCTGCTTTGATCTTTGCAAAAAATCCAGCAGGCCAAGCCGCGAGTTCTTCCTCCTTAGGGATGCCGCGCACCTTGCAGTGATTTACTACGTTCACCAAAATCCTGTTGAGCATTTCCTGGGTGACGGGAACAGCTCCTTCAAGTTGCGCCTCAGGGTATAAGAATGGATCCCTCTGAGCCAGGAGTTGATCCACGGTCGGTCGTAATGTCTGATCACGTTGCAAGCACCCCTTCAACGTTCGGATCAATCCCGGCGGTATCAGCGTTCCTCCAACACCAAAGGCGGGGAAATCAATCTTGACATTTGGATTGGGGATGGCCAAGATGCGCTCATAGTATTTGGCGATCTTCGCAAAAGGAGGCTGACCATACACCATCTTATAGAGAATACAACCCAAGCTCCAGACATCGCTCGGCTTACCAAGCTTCATCACTTTTCCAACGCTTGCCGGCAACCCGAGTGATGCGTTCGAATCAACCAAAGCTTCTGGTGACATATAGTTGGGCGTACCAACTTGCTGTTCACGGTGTACATTGACCGTATTGTCCTGGATGGCGTTCGCGATTCCAAAGTCGATCAGTTTCAGCCTTCCTTGTACAAGAAGGAAGTTTGCGGGCTTCAAGTCCGAATGAACAATGTTGTAGTTATGGACTGCTTGAACGCACTCAAGCATCTCCTTCCAATAATACCGAGTGAAGTTGATATCAAAAACGGCATCCTCGGCATTTAATCGGTACGTGAGTATCTTCTCTAGGTCAGACTCTCCAATTTCCATGAGTACACTGAGAGTATGTTTGTCGGAGTTCAACTCCCAGTCAAACAAGCGTACGACACGGTCCAGGTTTTCCAATTTCTTGAGTAGATCGATCTCTCCCTTGTAGCCAGCCAATGTTACGGGATCGACATCCTCCAGGTTCACTCGTTTTAGAGCAAAGATTTTGTAGTTCTCGGCCATTACTCGGTACACGCGCGAACTTCCGCCTCGGCCAATGCAGTCTAATCGCGTGAAGGGTTTGTGATTGACCGATACTTGATTGCGCTTTTTGCGGGATGAGGACGCGGTAGCCGCACCTCCTGTTGCTGTAGCGGTCTCAAGTACGGACATCTTTGGGGGCGGAGGCGCCGGCCTATGTGGGGTATTGTTGCTTCGAGTTGATAGGATCTTTCTGGGTGAGTTTCCAGCTGGAGTTTCCATGTTTTCTTTCTTTTCGTCCCCATGGGACACTGAAAGCTTTTCTGGTTTATCAAGCAAGTTGAAGCCCTGTTGTTTCACTCGCTTGAAGGTCGGTGGAGGCTCGTTCTCTTGGTCGCGAGCTGCAGGTAATGTAGGCGGAGGGGGAACTTTGAAGATGGGTTGATCCTTCGCGCTTGAATGCTTGGATGATGACGCCTCTGATGATGAGCCAGGTGTCGACTTCGAGTGTGACCCGTAAGACTTCGGTGAGGAGGACCTCGAAAAGGGGCCCTCAGTCGCTGAAATGCCAGCTGCTTCGTATGATCGATACCCTTCCGACCTATGTGGCGGGCTAGGGTCTGTTGCCCATGATACTTTGGGCGATGATGATTTCATCGTGCTTTTGAAATGATAGTCATCGTTATCATAGTTTCCATCAGGGTTCGTCTCTTTGTAACTGTCTGGATCATTGTTTTCCTCACTTTGCCGCCGGAGCACGCCTCTTCTCGCTGGCCCATTCAAAAATGTTCCTGTAAGCCTTCCTACCCTCTTCACACGAAGCGAACTATGAATGCCCAGATCTTCTCCATTCCGACTCCGCAATACCGATGCGGTGCCCAGACGTGGTGCGTAATCATCCTCATGTTTTACTATCCTTCCATCTTCGAGGCGACTTGCGCTATCATGCCCTTCAACAGAGCTCCTATCAGCGGATCGCCTTTGGGAGGGCGATATGGACGCGGGGGATCGCGTGCTACTACGTGACCCAGTGATGCGAACACTGCGATGCCTTGGAGCTGGCGTAACAAAATCATGCGAGCTTCCTCTCGCTTCAGAGTCGGCATCCTCACCGCCTGAAACATGCGATCCTTCTCTTCGAAACCTTGCGCTGCTAGTTAAGCCCGGTCCAATGCGGACGATCCGAGGCGCCGGGCTCCCAGTCGACCGGTCGTTGGGAGATGTTGTGCGGGAGCGCCTCTCTTGGCTCGTTGATGCTGAAGCTACGCGATCACTCTGATGACGATCGCTTTGGCCATTTTGGTGCCGGCGAGGGGATAGGTCTAACCCATCTTCATCAAGCAAGGCTTTGACGGAAGCACTAAATTTGGGCTCTGGAACCTCATCATCGGAGCTATCCCCGGCAGAGTAGCGCTTGGACATTGATGGTTCATTGCTTCTTAGTGCGGCCGAATTCTGCAATTCCGGTGACGTGCGCCTGGAGCCAATGCGAGAGACCGAGGCGCGGGACATTTGTCGGGATGACGGCTGTCGATGGAGACTACCCGTATATGCTGCGGAGAGGGAGTTAGTGGAAGCCATCATAGCGATTCAAAGCGAGGCCACATGGACGCGTCCGCCAATGCGTCGGTCCCGCTACCCAAGAGATACAGGTAGGCACTGGCCGCCAGGTTGTCGACTTTTCCTTGTTGTGTATACCAGGCGGGATCAACGTACTCGAAGAAACAACGTTACGGGGAGGCTGGGGAGCGGGTATCTTATCACGTGATGTGTCGTTGCCACGGCAATAGTGGGATGACAACAAAGCATGGCTTTTTCATTTCATTTGCTGCAGTCGCCACTTGAGAGTACATACACATGAATCTTCTACATCATGTACAGTAGATACATCATGGTCTACTTGACCCGGCGTTTTGCTACTCCTAGAGCCATTGAACCACTATTGCAGCATAAGGGGACTGAGCGTCACGGCTTATATGTCACGCCAAGTTACCCCGTCTTCCTCATATATAGTACTTTTCGTCACTATATATAGGTTGTGCATGGCTCCGATTTACTCGCTTTTTCTGAGTTTCGGGAGTCAAACGTCAAAACAACCCTACTTAGATTAATTATCATTTGAAACACACCCTAAAACCTTCTCGGACGTATTTTCAACGAACTTGGATATCTCTACCTAATATGTTCGCTGCAGACAGGGAGTCTAACATGGAGCTAACACTCCAAGGGTGAAGCAGTAGTGCTGACTGCCCAACGCATAGCCGATTTCTTAGCTGCAAGCCAATTACCTAAATGCTCAATAACCATAGGCTGTGGTATGCTTGCTGCATACTACCATAGATAATATGAGTCAAGTTCACGTATATGTCTAATCAAACAATCATACGATGGTTACTTTACTCTCAGGTAAGTGGACATAGCTACGGCAAGTCTCGGCTGTTACTCGAGAGTAATGGAAATGATAGGTCCAAAGAGTATGTAGTAGTTATACAACCTGGATTATTATAGGAGTTATATCGCTCAAAAATTCTGTCATTTGAATATTCCGTACATAATGTAGCGTAGTATCCCGAAATCGACCAAATGTCGGCATTTCCATGGGCTCGGAGAATGCCCGAATTCTCTGATGCACCATGTATGTTCTATGCATGCAAGGGCACGTACAGAGTACAAAATCACCACTACTACTATCAAAACTGGATGCCATTGTATTCAGGTACATTCCATACGGAGTGCACTGAAATTCAATATGTTGTCTGTATGTATAGAGTACAATCTAAAGTAAACACAAACTACGGAGTAGATGCACCTGACATAGATCACCTGAGAGTCACCTGCCCCCCAAAAGCTGATCGTCATCTAAAAGTACCGTATCTTTCCCGATACTCTTCTTCTCGCATCCAAGGAATTCCCTCTATCACGGTAACTTTAGCTGATAAGGTTACAACCTTGAAAAAACCTCCCGTCAAACATGACCAAACTCAGTTAATATGCCGAGATACGGATGTTAAATTTTTCAAGAGTTTCTTAGAATAGAGAGAAGAACGAGAGGGATCCAGTCCAGCTGCAGGTGATGAAACTGCGAACCCTTCGCAACTCCCCCACTTTTGTTACAGAGTCGAACAAACGCTTGAGGTAAACTTGCTCGATTTGGTTTGATCGCACGGAAATTCCTCACTGAGCGCGATCTGAACCTGGTTCCCATCGGTTAAGGCGGCCAAACGGGGCAGCTCAGGCCACTCAGAGGGGAGTGGAGCCTTAGGAACCAAGGCCACAAGAGCACATGGAGTCATGGACGCATGGATCCAGGAACGCCCTTACTTGGGTAATGATCTCCAAAGGAAGGCTATCCCGAGGTTAACATTCAACTATAGTGGACTATGACGCTGAATATGGCCTGGGCCACAGTAGGTCTCTTTATCCTTGACGATTGTGAGTCTCTTCCACACCATCGGTTGATTTCGACTCTCAACCACGAGGACGGGGAGTTCCTGATTTTTGAGGTCTCAACAGTC